CCCCAAAACCCCAAAACCCCAAAACCCCAAAACCCCATTAATTCTACTTGAAATTGAAGATGATATAAGTTATTTATAGTTCTTGGTTGTTGGATGTCTTATATCCTCAAGGCGGCAGTAGCCTTCGAAGCTGTCATTGCCCTCCCTGCCGTCTGATAAATATATATTTGTGCATATTTTCAGGCCCTTTGAGATGTCTTTTGGGGTAGAATTCGAGATGCTCTTCATTAAACCTCATTTCTTCTGGATCTCCTCCGATGACTTTTTGTCGTCATCTTGGATTAGAAGTTTACTCCGATTCCCATGCCGAGACATTTGCTTTTTAAAGAAATGTTTACTGATCATTGGATGGGCTTTCCTCTTTACTCGTGCATGAGGATTGGACGATCTGATCCGCCTCTTGATGAAGAAAGGAGAGTCTTCTTCAGGATTTGATCTACTTCTTGCTTCTGAACTTAATGTAGAATTTTCCAAATGACTCCGATAAATTTTCAAACTATTCTGCAAGTTGATTTCTCCCTTTGACTGTTGAAAATATGGCAGAGAATCCTTATATGGCTCTAAGCTTGCATTATTATGCCTCCTGATACCATCTGAGGTATGGAAATACCTAACATATTGTTGTTCATTTCTCGAACATTTTGTGTCAATCCCTTCTTTACGATTTAGAACATTCTCAGGAGTGAGCTGCTTTTGTTTGCTCAGCTCATATTTGAGGAATACATCCTCGAGAGCAAAGTTTGGAGGAAGGGTTCCTTCTGAATTAAAATTTTTCCCTTTACAAAATAAAGTAGCATTATTAGTTTGCTGTTTAGGGGTAAATTTAAAATTTCCAAAGGTTACATTAAATATACTATCAGAATCTGAGTTCTTCCTGTCATTCTCTACAGACTCTGACTGGTCAAATAGCTTCTTGGGATTGACATTATCTTTCTTCAACTTCAGCTGAAAGCCATTCTTTGGTAAATTAAGCTTACCAATTTTCTTCAATTTCTCTTTGGAGAAATTTCTTAATTTATGCTGTATTCTCTTCATTTGAAAGGGAAACACTTTTGAAGAATCTATGGTAACTAAGTTAGAGTCTTCCAGAGTGGCCAAATTATTTATGGTTCCTTGAAAATTTGTTCTGAGGGATATTTATCCTAGTTGCTAATAATGGCTTGGAGCTCTCTTTGGCATAAAAATGGTTAGAATCCTCGGTCTCGTATGGTAACTTCATAATCGTATTAATAATTTATAACAAAAATTACCAATTGAGCTATCAAAAATCGGGGTTTTGGGGTTTTGGGGTTTTGGGGTTTTGGGGTTTTGGGGTTTTGGGG